AGCGAGCTCATTCGTGAGTTAGATGTCCTGACACCTACCGCCGTTAATGAGTTGATGGAGAAGGCTGAAGCTCGTTCTTACACCATTGCTAGTGCTGAGGGAGCTTTTCCTGCAGGAACCAAGTTTCGTTCGTTCCTCCGCCGTGCACAGAAGTCCATTGAGCCCCGGACTCTGCTAGCAGGCTATCTCGCCCTCTGGTTGAAGAAGTGCGTCGTCCCGTACCAGCTTTCAGACGCCTTACCTCTCGAGGTGCTCTTCCCTGCAGTTCAGCTAGCTTATGGGAGGGAGCTTTCCCTGCTCCCAGCAATGGTTGCTGATATCCATTGTGGGCTCAGGTATCTGGTCAGTGGTTTTGCGCAGGTGGGTTCTGAACCGTCGGCCGAGCTTATTTGTGTGAAGGTCGAGCTTCCTTATGCGTATCTGATGGCGTGGCTTGTTCTTCACCGTCCTGACTTGATGTCAGCGCCCAGCACTGTTGATGTCCCTGTTCCTTTCGTGCAGCTGTTGGAGAGAAGCAGATGGCTCGGGAAAACATTCAGTGATGTACAACGAGAGCTTCGAGTTCGTAAGAGCTGGGAGTTCTTCAAGTGTTTTCCTCGCTTTTCGGGTCGCTATGGTGATGTGCTGACTGATGAGGAGAAACCCAGAACTAATCGGACTGCTCTCAACATTGGTTGCTTCCGCTGGTTGGTGAACATCCGCGTCGGGTATCTCGTTCTTCGGGTGAAGAATCGTTGTCACATAGAGCCTTACCTTCCCAGCCGTTTTGCTCGTCAGTTTGGCTACGACCAACTATATGTTGAGAATCCGAGCCGTGGTTTGAAGGTTGAGGGAGGGCTTATTGACGGTGTTCGGGCATGGCTATGGACCATGGTGGGCTGTACGGGAGCCCAATTTGCTCTTCCTTCATCCAGACGCAAGCCGTTGATCACTTTCCTCAGCTGCAAGTGGTTTCTTTCTGCCAACGAATCTATAGGCGTGAGGAGTCTTTTAGAGTTGCAGTCTGAGCACTTGGTTCAAGTCACTATGATGGCTGCTCGTAAGGCTGAGCTTATTAAGAAATAGGGGAAGAAGCCTGCCAAACCTAAGAAGCCCGCCAAACCTTCCCTCTCGAGCAGAGACAGGATGGAGGATGATGAAGAGCTCCTTCCTATTGATGATGAGGACGAGACTTCTGAGGAGGAGTATGTGGATATAGATACTGACGAAGAAGAACTTAATGCGGGTTTGTTATGCTCTTTGGTCTTCTTTCTCAACCTCAATTGGAATCAACGAAAGTTCTTGTTCACTTATCCTAACGAAATGACTCTTATCCCCCAGGTAGGACAGTCGATGAGCATGAGTCGTTCGCTTCTCATTATGCGAGATTCATGTCTAGCGGCGAAGCTCCTACACAGGTTGAGACGTGTGGCAAGTCCGTGCACGAACGACCCGTTGGTTCTACGAGGGCTGGTGCTCCGAAAAAGAAGAAGACCGCTCATAAACCACACGGTGGTCAGCGCCCCTATGGAGTGGATTTAGGAGACATCGCCAACGGGGAGGAGCGTAATATTTTATTGTCTTTATTGCTTCAAGATGGTTTACTTTCTGGGATTCGTAATCATGTTTTATGTTCCAGGATACTACGAAGAGGGCGAGCTTCCACCGGATCCTGTATTCCCTGGTTCTGATAATCTGGATAGCTTCATGTAGCAGATGTGTGACGCCATTCGTGATGGTTCTATGGATGTCGATACGAACCTTGATACTGAGTAGGTTAACAGCGTTGAGCCCGCCATTCCATATTCAGGTATATCTAATTCCGATGATACCCTCCTCGAGTAGCATTTAGAGGAGTTAGGGAGTTCAGGATTCATTATTTTTTTCGTGCTGCGCTTTCTTTCAGATTACTTGAAGAATCCAGGCTGCAGGTATTTCTGAGCTTTTTCTTCTTTCCCTATCTTCTTGTATATATATCTAATACTTAAATTATTCTGCAGATGTCGTATCAGAGGGGCCCATTGAGGATGAGGCTTTTCATGATATAGGTCTCGAGAAACAGGAGTATGTCTCTGCATCAAATTTCTCGGTACCCGACATTGGATTATTAGTTGACATGTTGGCTGAACAGGCTACCGGAGGAACCGTGGGACCACCTTTTGAGAGTGATTCATTCACAGGTATATATTTGATTCTCTTCATTTTGCCTGATCTTTTGTCTGACTAACAGAGGATTAATATTGCAGTACCAGCCATTGGGACTGATCCAGTATCGATTCCTGGCGTATCTAGCTTACCTCGGAGTGACAGATCTATAGGTACGCACACGATCTAGGACGTCATGTTCCTTTTCATTTGTCTGATTTTTTTGACTAATAGATGGGTGTAATCATAGGACCAGCCACCGGGGCCGATACTCTTACGACTCCTGGCATTCCCCGTGTGCCTGAGGATGATGGACTCGCAGGTATACAGATGATCTTATCATCTCGATCCTCTTTATTTTGTCTAGATTTCCATTTTGACTAATAAAGAAGTGTAACTATAGGCCCAGCCGTTGTGCCTGATGCCACTACAGTTTCTGAGACCGATTTGCCTACGGGTGTTGATATACCCTCCATGACTACTCCTGCCGTTATCTCGGAGCCTATCAGACCTCAATCCGAGGGGACCTCCGCTGGCGTTGGTATGCTCGGAATTTGCCCTTAAGTTTCCTTATCACATTTGATAATCTCTTAGCTTTTCGCACTGTTACTTGTAGGATCCCGATCTTCTTTATACGAGCGTGTTCACGCCCTTTTGGCCGATACCGATCCTGACAGAGACATTTTTCGTACGGACCTCGGCTTTTTTACCGCCTTTTTTAACGGCATGATCGAGAAACTTCTTCATAGAGGATATTGTTTCGATCAGTTCAGGCGTTCCTTTTCTCGCCACATGATGATGATTAGAGAAGAAGGGTATCCAGAGTTGGCTGATTCCTTCATTGCCGATTTTACTGTTCTGGAGTCGGAGATCCGAGAGTTGAAGGAATTGAAGGCTAATGGAGCTTCTTCCTTCGTGTCCTCTCAGATGGAGCATAGGCTGGCACAGTGGTGCGACCTGAGATCTTCTATCGGCAGTGAGCTTCAGTCACATGAGCATTCTGTTGCACAGCTGATGGCTACTGTGCGAGGAAGGATACAGATAGAGCCGAGTTACTCAGCTCTTTGGATTCCGGCCGCGAGGAAGTGGCTAGGTTGAAGGAGGCCTTGAAGCATGCCGAGGAGTCCGTTACTATTATTGCAGAAGACCTGGCTGGAGTAGAGCGTTCTCGTGGACATGCCCTCGAGAAGCTAGGATCTACACAGGAGAGATTGATGAAGCTGAAGAATGAAGCCGTGAAGATCTTGAGCAGATCTGAAGAATCTGTCCGAGCTGGTCTGCAGGCAGAACTTGAGCAGAGTTATGTAGATATGCTTTCTAATCTAGAGTCTCATGTTCTTAGTCGCCAACTGCCTTCGGGCTAACGAGCTTTTTATTATATGCTTTGACTTGATCTATTAATAGAGACTCCGCATTTGCTTCCTTTATGATATTTCTTTATTTATTTTGAACCCAACGATGAAAAGTTCTACAGGATTTTTGGCAAACCCCCAGCCATCAACGAGTTTGATGTGCCTTTACCGATTACCGTTTGAATCAGGCTAGCATGTGAATTATTAAAGCCCGTCTCACATGTAACGTTGTGCTAAGAAAGTCGCTTTTTTTAGACTTGATGCTATGATTTTGAATACATAGACTTAGCCATTTCTTATAGGGAAAAGGTACCCTGCACCGCGTATTAGGCGATGACTCATCCCTTCTTAGGTTTCGGGATAAAATTCCCCAGGTTTTAGACCCTGGTGCCTTTTTTCAATTGGCGAAAAGCTAAACCGGCAATGCGTGTTAGACATAGACTTTGGGATTTTTGGCAAACCCCCAGCCTTCAACGGGTTTGATGTGCCTTTACCGATTACCGTTTGAATCGGGCTAGCATGCGGATTGTCTAAATCTGTTCCGCATGTAACGTTGTGCTAAGAGAGTGAATTCTCTGAGACTTTGTGCTATGATTTTGAATACATAGGCTTCACCCTTGTTACGGGAATAGGTTACCCGGCAACACGTGTTAGGTGTTGACTCATCCCTACTTAGGCTTCGGGATAAAATTCCCTAAGTTTTAGACCCTGGTGCCTTTTTTCAATCGGCGAAAGGCTAAACCGGCAATGCGTGTTAGGCGTAGACTTATCTCTATTTAGGAGTTGAGATAAAATTCCCCGTGCACAAAGTGCTCGGATTGAAAATTGAGAATTGTGTCTTTTCTAAGAACAAAGACAAACTGGAAAATGGGAGAGAAGGAAGAATTTTATATTCTATCTCCCGGTGCTGAAGAGGAAGAATTTTATATTCTATCTACAGCTGGAAAGGAAACTCGAGGTGGGATCTCCACCCCCAGAATCCTGCAGGCTGAAACTAAGAGTGGGATCTCCACTCCGAGAATCGGAAAGGTTCGAACGACCCTAACTTTTATAGGATTGGTCATTTGAACCCAAAGAATCCCTCATTCATTGAGGAGAAAGCCCAATTTCAACCCTAACTTTTATAGGTTTGGTGGAAAAGGGGACAAAGGTGGATTTTCGTTTATCGAAAAGGAATGACTCGGTTTTAGTCCTAACTACTTGTAGGCTTCACTAAGTGAGATTGGGAACAATCCTAACTTTTATAGGTTTGATTGTTCGAATGTGGACCTCTCGTTCATGGAAGGAATCGAGAGAGGAATTTGGCTTTGGCCCTAACTTTTATAGGTTTGACCTGAAAGCAAAGAGAGTGGAATACAGGTAGCAAAGAAAATAACAACTCGTATTATCACTCAGAGGAAGACTTTAATACTAGGTGATTAGGACCTAACATGTTGAGTCTGAGGAATGCCAATGACTGGCGGATAGAAATATTGGTGGATCCACCGTCAATTGATCTGATCAGCGGATGGTTTGGTGAGGAAAGATCAACCTGTCACCGGATTGAATCTCGTCTCACAAAAAATAACTCATGAGAGTTAGAGAATCTGACAATAACAAGAAGAAACATTCCGACATTCAGAGTTTGAACGTGGATTTCTTATTCATTACTTCTACAGTAATTGGGTTATCCCTAAGAATATCACTTGTGGTATTCTTCCGGGAACTTCCCGATACATTAGTTATCCTGAAGATACTAAGGATAGTATTTTTTCAGGAATTTGCCGTTTATCGGCATTATAAGCCGGTCACCGTCCTTGGTGACTAGGCGATATGCGCCATTCGAGTAGACTGTCTCTACTACGAATGGTCCCTCCCATTTGGGTTCAAATTTACCTTTTTTCTTGGAGTTAAGGATCATAGGCCGCCTTTCAGCTAGAACCAAGTCCCCTTCTTTGAAGCTCCGTTGTCGAACCTTTTTGTCGAAAGCTCGAGAGATCCTGGCTTGGTAAAATTCGATATGCTGTTGAGCTTCTAAACGCTTCTCATCTAGCCTTTCAAGTTCTTCAAGGCGCTTCTGATGTTGCTCTTCGGTCGTCATTTGAGTCGCGAGGGCAATTCGAAGCGACGAGATTTGAATCTCCAATGAAAGAACGGCTTCACATCCGTATACCAGTGAATATGGGGTTGCTCCCGTCGGTGTGCGCACCGTGGTCCGATAGGCCCATAGAGCCGCGCCCAGCTTATCGTCCCAGTCTCGTTTATTAGTTTTCATGAGTTTTGACAAAATCTTTATAATAGTCTTATTGAAGGCTTCGGCCAATCCATTTGCTGTGGGATTATAAGCTGTTGACGAGATGTCCTGAATTTTGAACTTTTCACAAAACCTGATGAAGGCGTTGCTGACGAATTGAGGACCGTTGTCATGTATGATTCGTCTCAGGACACCATGCCAGTAGATGATATGGTGCTTGATGAATGCAGTGACGTTGCTCGTTTTGACTTCTCTGAGAGGAACCGCTTCAGTCCACTTGGAGAAGTAGTCGGTAATCGCCAGGATGAACCGATCACCTTTGACTGACGGAGGATTTATAGGACCGACGATATCCATTCCCCAGGTCTCAAATGGCCACGACGTAACCGAAGGATGCAGATGCTCCGGAGGTTGATGCATATAATTCGCATGTGTTTGACATGCATGACACTTTCAGGCATACGCGATTGCATCACTCATCATGAAAGGCCAAAAATATCCCATTCTTCTGATGCGGTCATAAAGCTTGGGGCCAGGTTGGTGTGCGCCACACTCTCCTTCATGTGCCTCTCTAAGAACTTCTTCGGCTTCTTTAGTTGATAAGCAACGTGCTAGCAACCCATCGTACCCCCTGCGGTATAGCGTTCGATTCTCCGTATTATAGTAGAATCTTGGCGCCCTTCGTCGGATTGACTCTCTTTCCTTCATGTCTTCTGGTAGGATTCCATGCAAGACGTAATCAATGATGGGGAAACGCCAATCTCGAGGTTCAAACTAAACTTGAGTTGAGTGTGTTTCCTTAATATCTTCTTCCTCGTCCTCTTCATCATAGATCGGCACTAGGAGTTGGTGAGTCCTCACTGTAACAAACTGTTCTGTTTCAGGAGGTTGCGCCAGGGATATGGCTAATGCCGCTAATGCATCTGCGTAGGTATTTTGTAACCGTGGAATATGTTCGATAAAGAATCCTTCGAATGATTCTGCCATCTTATGGTATGGTATTAAATCCGGGCTTCGGACCTCGTACTCTCCCTGAATTTGTTTAACTATCAGTTGAGAATCATCGAAGGCTTCGAGATAGTCAACCCCCAGCTCTTTAGCGAAACTAAGTCCTATGAGTAATGCATTATATTCGGCTATGTTATTTGAGCACGGTTCGGTCAACGAATAAGCTTGAGGCATAACGTGTTTTCCTGGGGAAACTAAGACAACTCCAACTCCGGAAGAAATCTTAGGACTTCCAGGAGCACTCACTACATTAGTTGCTCGTGAAGCGCCGTCGAAGTACAAACGCCATACTTGCTGGTGTGAAGTTGCGTTGACTGCGTGGGTCTCATCAGGTAGGTCGTCATATATCTCGGCGGTATCCATAGTTGGATTAGCTGCCAGGAGATCACAGATGGCTTGTCCTTTTACTGACTTTTGTTGTTTAAAATGTAAGTCGTATTGGGACAAGAGTAAGGCCCATTTTGCTAATCGCCAATTCATGAACGCTGGTTGAGTCATGAACACTTGGACTGGGTTAACCTTAGAGATAACATAAATGGTCTGTCCAACTAGATAATGTCGTATCTTCTGAATAGCGAACACCAGGGCGAGGCATTCTCTCTCAATCATAGGATATCGAGATTCAGCGCCTACCATGGTCCGGCTTAAATAATACACCGCCTGCTCATGACCGTTATCGTCATCCTGTGCAAGTAATGCACTTAATGAGTGGCTCGTCGCCTTGACATAAATCAAGAACGGTTTGCCCGATTTCGGTGCGATGAGTACGGGAGGTTTTGAGAGATATTCTTTAATACTCTCGAATGCCTTTTGACAAGCGTCATCCCATACAAATGACACGCCCTTTTTTGTGAGCTTAGAGAATGGTTGGCATTTTCCTGAGAGGTTCGAGATGAACCGACGGATATAAGCTAACCGCCCTTGCAACCCTCTGAGCTCCTTGAGGTTTCTCGGAGGTTTCAATTCATTAATTGCTTTTACTTTATCAGGATCAATGTGAATACCTTTGGTGGTAACGACGAACCCAAGGAACTTACCACTGGACATTCCGAGGAAAGACTTGGTAGGATTCATTTTTAATTGGTAGGCCCGCATCAGATCGAACATCGTCTTCAAGTCTTTGATGTGATCCTTCTTATCACGACTTTTCACGACCAAATCATCCACGTAACATTCGACAGTTTTCCGGAGATGCTCCTGAAAAATCTTTGACATGGCTCGCTGATATGTGGCACCTGCATTTTTTAAGCCGAAGGGCATGACCGTGTAGCAGAAAACACCGAGGGGCGTTCTAAACGCGGTATGCTTTTCATCATCTGGATGCATCTTTATTTGATTATAACCAGAGAAACCATCCATGAAAGACATCCTCTCGAATCCGCACGTATTGTCAATGATGACATATGTGATAGGAAGGGGGAAATCATCTTTTGGACAGGCAGCGTTGAGGTGTCTAAAGTCGATACACACCCTGACCTTCCCGTTCTTCTTAAGGACCGGGACGA